CTTTTGTCTCTGTTTTTTCTTTTTTTCTTTTGCCCTACCCAGGTACGTGGGGAGTTTCTTGCCTTTTGGGAGGTCTGAGGTCTTCTGCCAGCCTTCAGTAGGTGTTCTGTAGGAGTTGTTCCACGTGTAGATGTATTTCTGGTGTATCCTTGGGGAGGAAGGCGATCTCCGCGTCTTACTCTTCCGCCATCTTCAAGGTTCCCCCTGCCTTGACTTCTTAATGTTTATAATTACACATAAAAACATAGGGCTTCCCTGGTGGCGCAGTGGTTGAGAGTCCGCCTGCCGATGCAGGGGACACGGGTTCATGCCCCAGTCTGGGAAGATCCCACATGCCGCGGAGCGGCTGGACTCTTGAACCATGGCCACTGAGCCTGTGTGTGTAGAGCTTGTGCTCCACGACGGGAGAGGCCACGACAGTGAGAGGCCCGCGTACTGCTAAAAATAAAACAAAACATAAAAGAGAACAGGTAAGCATTCATTAATATCTTCTTCTGAGGAACCATAAAAACATTAACATTCATTAATATCTTCTTCTGAGGAACCATACTGTAATATACAGTTTTATACCCTGAGTTTTTTTTTTCACATTGTATCATGTCGTGTCAGGAATATTCTGTCTTGCTTTTTGTAACCTACCACTTAAACCCAAACTGTTTCCTTTTTTTTTTTAACATCTTTATTGGAGTATAATTGCTTTACAATGGTGTGTTAGTTTCTGCTTTATAACAAAGTGAATCAGTTATACATATGCATATGTTCTCATATCTCTTTCCTTCTTGGATCTCCCATGAGACTTGCAGCCATATTCACGGTGCTTTTGGCTGGTCCCAGGGGTCATAATATGGATCTTGTTCTCCCCCAAAACTGTGATTGTGCCTTCTGACCTCTATGGAGGACCTCTGAGGGAATGGCACAGAGGATGAGTTTTGCTTCCCACTGCCCCTCCCAGGCACGGAGTGGCTTTCTCGGTTGCGTCTCTCAAAAACATCTAAAAACGTACCGTACCCATAGCTGCCTGGGGCAAGGGAAATAAGATAAGTCAAGCAGCAGAGAGCCCGCAAAGCCTGTAAAGGGTGAGGGTGATGAGGAAAATTCTTGGGGGAATAAGAGTTTTTAAGGCATAGCATAGATTCCAGAGTGCAATGCATATGCACAAGGTAGGACACAGGCTCAGAAGGTCTGACAGGAAGCCAGGCTTGCACATGTGGCTGACCTTTGGGCTCCTCAAAAGCAGGAGGTGAAGGCTAAGGCAGAGTTGGAGGCAGCCTGGCTAAGCATTGGTGGAGTGTCCCCGATCAGAAGCCAATCTGCAAAGACTAGACAATATTGTTTTCCTTTCCTTTTTGGCTCCAGGCCCTTCAGGAAATCTCTGTCAAGTCACTCTCTGACCACTGATAAAATAGAAGGATAGCTTCCGTGAGCACATATCACAAGGATTTCAATCATTGCAAAAATACATATTCCAATGTGTGTATATACTACAATTTGTTTATCCACTCATCCCTTGATGGACAGATGGGTTGTTTCAACCTTTTGAATATAATGAATAATGCTGCTGTGAGCATTCACGTACAATAATTTGTTTTGGTGCCTCTTTCAATTCTTTCGGGTATACACCTAGGAGTGGAGTAGCTGGGTCATATGGTACTTCTGTGTTTAATTTTGTGAGGAACCAACAAACTGTTCTCCACAGCAGCGAAACCATTTGTATCCCCACCAACAATGTACAGAAGTTCCAATTTCTCCACATCCTCACCAAAGTTCATCTTGTTATGTTCCTTAAAAAAAAAGCTATAGGCAATGTAGTAGGTGTGAAGTGGCATCCTACTGTGGCTTTATTTTGCGTTTACCTAACAACTAATAGATTTTCCTCTGATCATTGCTTTTTCTCTGTCACAGAGGTTTTGGTATGCTGTGTTTCCATTTTCAATTGTCTACATGTATTTTTAAATTTCCCAACTTGACACATGATATATGTAAACCCATCTAGCTGGGACATAAAGGAGTTTTGATGCATGCACTTTAAATCCCATTGTTATCCCATTTTTGTGCAGAATCTTCATGTTTTATAAATGGAAAAAAAGTGTATAAAAAACCCACTTGTTTGGGTTAGAAGGTGCCTCCTCCTCGGGGACAAAGGCAGGGACATTGAGGCCTGGACCTACTGGCTCGTGATTGGGGCAGGGAAGAGCAATGGAGGACACATAACACACAGCTTGCAACAGCACTCTTTATTATGAAACCAAACAGCAATCGTGAGTCGGGAAAAGACACAGAACAGCTGACCCTTCAGGTGGCTATGTTACCTGGCCTACAACGTAACTTTGGCTTCTTGGTCAGCCAGGCTTCCAACCCCAGGCATGGGCGTGGCCTGAGGCTGGAGAGAAAAGATGATGTGGATGAAGACAAAGATGACATCCAAGCACTCCTTTTAGGGGATTTCTTTGAAGGCCTCCTCTGGGATCTTGCCCTCGGTCTGGAGAGGAGTCGGAATGTCAGAAGAGCCTGCTCCCTGAGTTCCATTCCCAGGCCACCGGCCTCCACCTTCTTGGCCTCCCTGAAGGCCCAGAAACGTTCATCTTTAACCCACCTGATTCCCAGACCTCACCTTGAGCATACTGCAGACCTGACCAGCTCTGGTGTAGTTCCATTCGTTGTCCTGAAGGCACCTGCAGTGGGAGAACAACAGGTGATCTCCATTAGTACCACAGTAGAGTCACGCTGACCATGCAATGCCACCGCTAAATCTATGCCACTTTCTTGCTGGGACACATGTACCAGTATGAACACTATGTGTAATGATGAAGAAAGACCCAGTGAAAAGCAAACCATCTATCACTAGCATTCATGCCCACTAGAATTCAAAACAGAAAAGTAGAGCTGTTCAAAAGAACAAGGGAATTCAATATATACTGATCAAGAAAGATGTTCAAGAAAATAACAAATGGAAAATTCTAAAGTACAAGTCTCCAACCATCTTTTATTGAGATATAATGCACACACCATTTTAAAGTATACAAATCAGTGCTTTTTAGTACATTCACACGATTGTGCAACCACCACAACTATCTAATTCCAAAGTAATTTTACCACCTGAAAAAGAAGCTCCTTAACCATTAGTGATCACTCCCTATTCCTCCCCTTCCCCCAGACCCTGGCAACCACTAATCTGCTTTTGGTCCCTGTGGATTTGCCGATTCTGGACACTTCATACAATATTTGACTTTTTGTGACTGACTTCTTTCACTTAGCATCATGTTTTCAAGGTTCATCCATGTTATGACATGTATCAGAACAGTATTCTTTTTTATGACTGAATAATATTCTACTATATGGATGTACCAAGATTTATTCATCCATTCATCAGCTACAGGACATTTGGGTTATTTCCACTTTTCGGCTATTATCAATAATGCTGCTATGAACGTTCCTGAACAAGTTTTGGAGTGAACGTATGTTCTCATTTCTCCTGGTGGGATACTTAGGAGTGGGATTACTGGGTCATATGGTAACTCCGTGTTTAACATTTCGAGGAAGTGCCAAACTGTTTTCCCAAACCACTGCTCCCTTTTATATTCCCATCAGTAACACATGAGAATTCCAATGTCTCCACATCCTCACCAACACTTGTTATCATTTGTTTCACTGATTAAAGCCATCTTAGTGGGTGTGACCTGGTAACTCACTGTGGTTTCAATTTGCATTTCCTTGATGGCTAACGATGTTGAGAAGTTTCTCATTTCCTTCTTGGCCATTTATATGTCTTCTTTGGAGAAATGTCCATTCAGAGCCTGTCCCCATTTTTAAAAAATTGGGGTGCTTGCCTTTGTATTGTTGAGTTGCAAGGGTTCTTCACATATTCTTGCCAGATATGTGATATGCAAATATTTTCTCCCATTCTGTTGGTGGGCTTTTCACCTTTTTGATACTGTGCTTTGATGCTCAAAAGGTTTTAGTTTTGATGAAGTCAACAATTTATCTACTTTTTTTCTTTGGTTGCTTGTGCTTTTGGTGTCATATGTAAGAAATGATTGCCTAATTTGTGAAGACTTACACCTACGTTTCCTTCCCAGATTTTTATAGTCTTAGCTCTTACTTTTAGATCTTTGATCCATTTTCAGGCTATGTTTGTACATGGAGTGTGAGTCAGGGGTCAAAATTCTTTGGTTTGCATGCGGATACCCACTTGTCCCAGCACCATTTGTTGAAAACACTATTATTTTCCCATCAGATATTTTCAGCACTCTGTCAGGTTGATAATCAGTTGACCATAAATGTGAAGGTTTATCTGTGGACTCTCAGTTCTATTCCACTGATTCATACACTGTCCACAGGCCAGTACCACGTAGTCTTTATTACTGTGGCTTTGTAGCAAGTTTTGAAATTGGGACGTGTGAGTCTTCTAACTTTGTTCTTCTCTTTCGAGATTGTTTTGGTGCACTTTCATAGGAAGTTTAGGATAACCTTGTCAATTGTTGCAAAGAAGGATTCTGATAGGGACTGCATTGAACCTAGTTTGCTCTGGGTAGTACTGCCAACGTAATAATATTGCCTTCCAACCCATGAAAATGGAGTGTCTTTCCATTTATTTAGGTCTTCTTTATTTTTTTCAACAGCATTTTACAGACTCCGGAGTATGAGATTTGCACTTCTTTTGTTACATTTGTATCAAAGCGTTGTACTATTTTGATGCCATGGTAACTGGGCTTGCTTTCTTAATTTCATTTTTGGGTTGTTCATTGCAAGTACATGGAAATACAAATAAGTTTTGTATATTGGTCTTGTATCCTGCAACTTTGGTGAACTTGGTTATCAGCTCTAGTAGGGTGTTTTGTTGGTTGGTTGGTTGGTTGGTGTGTGTGTGGATTGTCCTGGATTTTCCATACACAAGATAATGTCGCTGAGCATTATACCATCTCGAAAACCCTTTACACATATAATAGTATGACACCTTTTTCATGGGCTCACTTTTATTTTTTGGAAGCAAAATATTCAAAAAGCTATTTTTCCAAATTGCTTTTGAGTTTCCATGATTCACTCCCCCGCACATTCCCATGCACACCCAGCACTCACTTCTGAGACCACTCGAGTTTCATCCCAGACAGGGTGGAGAAACCCTGCACCATTTCCTGCTGCCCCTGGGAGAGGGAGGAGGGTGTAGGCATTGGGATGGAGAACGCACTCTTGAGTCTCACTGGGGCTGGCATTCCTCACAAAGAGTTCGTCATTCACAATGCATAGACTGGAGGAAAAATGGGCCCTCAGACATGGACACATGGACCACCCCACACCCCAAACAACGATCCTGCTCCCACTGCCACTCAGCAACTAGTTTCCTTCCATACCCCTGCTGTGTCTGTATCCCAGGTTCCGTTACTGGTACCTCTGCCCCTCCCCACAGAGCCCACCTTTGGAGAGACTGTCTACCACCTTCACTCGATTTATAGGTTTATCCCCAACCCACGGGCAATTTCGCATTTACCCTTTACCACAGCCCAAGGAGTGGACGGTCTGATCGCCATTCTCGGAAGAAGACACTGAGTCACAGAGACGTCATGTGGCTTGACTAAGGTCACACAGCGAGTGAGTGTTGGCTCAAGGAGAGAACCCATAGGTCGATTCCAGAGCCCATGAAGACTCACATTTCCAGATCCCATGTTCTTTTTAACCACTAGGCTAGACTGCTCCTGGGATCTCCCTGCTGGCTTTCCACAATACTGAGTAAACCTAAGATCTGCGCCACCACATTCCCACGCCCCTGAGCCCAGGTGGGGATGGGCATTCCCGCCCACAACAGGGCTCTCACCTGGCATAGCTGGCAGGGGTAGCGATGAAGATCCGGGTGAAGGCACGCACACAGCCCTGAGAACTTCCTTCCACTTCAACAACAAACAAACCACAGTACCCCTTACAGCTGCACGTGCTGTACATGCTCACATGGCAGTCCCCAGTCAGGGTGTGACTGGACACTCGTGCTGAGGGGGCAGTTGTTCACGGGGGCCAGGGTGTTGGGAATGGGGAGGGCAAC